AAGTAATGAAGCAGCACATGTCGAAAAAACAACTTATCACGTTCCATATTTAATCAAAAGAAAAAATAGCACTGCTCGCTTAAATGAATCTCTTCGCACTGAATTTTATTGACAAATGTCTAACCTCTAAAATGCAGCCAGTTTCAGATGTCAAAATAAATTACACCTACAACTAACGTCATCTAACTGTGAGCCGCAGGAACTAAGTTTACCACCTAATACACCCGACATCTTGGAGTGACTGCGTTCAGCAGAGAAAGCTGCTTTGCAATTGTTGCAAAATTCGTGAATTTGATTGATGCATGCTCTTAATCTTGGCTTAGATTCAAAAATGTTATTACAATTGCAAAGCTGCTTTCTTTGCTAAATGCAATCAACGATTTGAAAATCTCTAACGTTAAAATAAACATTTTAGTCCTAAAAATTGTTGGTCCTTCTTAGAAATACACTAAACGGTTATATATTTCGTATATTAACATTTATCATGTGGATAGTTAATCCTGGCAGTAATATCAATTATTACACCAGACGTATTGGTGCAAATTTCACATTTGTTTACTTATATAAGAAGAATAAATAAATAAATTTCACTGAAATTTACTTCCCACACACACAACATTTTCTCAAAATTATACGTAAAAACCCTGTTAAAAATAAAACAAAAATATGAGCAATGATTAAAACTTACGATAAGTAGTGTAATAAATTTTAAATTAATTTTTTTATAATCTACACATAAAATGAGCGTCCATTATACATAAAATGAACATGTTACTGGCAAAATTAAATAGTCTAGAATCTTAATATTGTTACTTTAAGTTTCAAAGAGATCTTGAATGACTTCATACATCTTCACTTTCATGAACTTTTTTTCAATAAGTTATTGATCTCTCGATTACCGAGAACTCTCGATTAATGCAATTTCCTACATGAACTTATCGTCCAGTGACGAGCTAAAATTTATTACTGTTGCTAAGAAGAACGTGGGTGAAAATCAGTGTTAGCAAGTAGGTCGGTGCAATTGCAAAGTTTGAGGGACAAGTTTCGCGCCGTTACGTCAAGTTACGATGCAACATCCCATTTCAAGCAAGAAAGCCGCATACAGCGTGCATAATATTGACTACACGTGTGACAATTGCCGCGCTAGCGAGTGTGAAACCTGCGGCGAATGTTACATTCACACCACCTAGAAATTCCGCGTTATTGGCCAATATCTCCGAGAGCATCGTTGCGTAGGCATTACATGGTCGCGAAAATAGGTTTTCAGGACATAAACACAAACTACCTCGAAACTGGTATTCCGATGCAATACGCATGTTCTTATTTGGCATACTTAATGAGCAATTCACACTATGCTGTCTCTCTCTCTCTCTCTAGACTGTCGCAATTAAAACTGACTCAAACGTCGCCTATACTTGGTTCGATTTAATCGAACTGTGCATATATGTATATAAATTGAGCAATCTGTTCGATTAGTATTCTAAGATCAACCTATAAATTGCGCGTCGTAAAATATTGAAAGTCGATGGTGTAGAAGTGAAATTGGCCGCGAGAAGAGAATCGGACTAATATAAATGTGCTATTCAATGGAACATTAAAAAAACCGCACGACGTTGTCGCGATAAATCACACCCCCAATTTACGCTAATTGCAAAATGGAAGGTTTTTCAACTTCGCCGCAGTATTGACTGGACGCATCATTACGCCGGTTAAGCGATAACGCAAGCCGATGCTGGGCGCCGCACGAAAGTGAAAGTCTTCGCTTCTTCTTTTCGCGATTCGTCCCAGGAAACGATCGCGCACCCAATAATCATTCTTCTCGAGGTGAGGAGAACTACCGTGATCGGTGAAATCAGTGTTTTATATGTGGAAATAATTATGAAAGAATCATTTCTCTGTAGCGAGAAGCCACATACGCGCAGCGTCAAGAGTTAATAAGATAATTGCATATTCGTCTGGTCTTTACTATTAAGAAACATAAAAGAGAGAGCTAACTGATAAACTCTGTGCATTCTTTAGAATGTTACGCACGTCGAAAATATAGATTTAACCCGCATACAATTATATTTTTTGAGTCTGTTGGAAACCGTCACGATGAATGTTTGAATTTTTAGCTCATACATTTTTTTTATTTGGATGCTGTTATCCGTATGAAATCGAAAAAGAGAGATCTCTATAGGATAGAGAGTAGTTAATTAAAGAGTAGAAGAAGCAAAAGAGGACTCCTGAGTCGAAATTTTGATTCTATTTTAGCCTTACTATTCCATTGAACACATATTTTGATCTTTTGACCTTTTTTGATTCTATTTAATCTACCCGAGTCGAAATTTTGATTCTACTTTTAGCCTCATTATTCCATTCAACACCTATTTTAACGCAAAAAAAAGTGAAAAGGAAAATTTGAGACATTATCAGAGTCAAAATAGAAATAAATTGTATCATTAGAATTAAACCTATTTTGCTAATTTAGTTCTTACTGTTGTAGAATTCAAGATTTAACATTGAGTTAACGTTTCGATTCGGGCTAATACGTTTGAAAAAGTAGAAACAGTGTGTTGTATAGCTATTTTATCTCACGGTGAAGGCTGAAGATATTGCAACAAAGTCGTTAAATACCCAAAAAGGAAAATAAAATCATACATGGAGAAAAATAATTTGTTGGCCCAGCAAATTTTCTGCTGGTTTAGCAAAATCTTTTTGTTATTATATGAATAACAAAAAGATTTGCTAAGAGTGCTAATCATTATTTGCTGGATATAATTTATTGAATCTACAAATTATTTTACTATAAGAACAATGATGGATTTATATAAGCAGTTGCAATTTTGCTCCGATAGCAAATAAATTTGCTAAGGATAAATTATTTTGCATCAATAGTAAATTAATGTCATTCTTAGGACAAATACACTCAACAAATTTTTCTATCCTGACAACGAAATTACTTCTGCTCTGATAACGAATAATTTATAAAATTAGTTTCACGTGATATTTTGCACCGCAATGCCCATAGTTTATCAATCTTCTTGAATTAATAACTAAATTTTTTTTATATTACTACTAATATGCAATAGCAACGACGATTTTGCTAAAAGAGCAAAATTATTTTTCTCCGTGTAGATGTCTCCTTTTTGGGACAGTATAATCTAAGTCTATTAAACCCGGGCAGCTTTGAATTACTATAACCTTATTGAAAATTAATATTTTTGGACACATTTTTTCCAGAAATATAGGAAAAATAAAAATCTGCAAACAGATTGGCATTAATTCGGAATTATTCCGAACCCTTTACGGAAATTGGTGAGCGATCGAATATTCGTTTGGGTCTAACAGGCCTAACATTGTACGGTTAAAATAAAGATTTCACAAATCTAAACGTTTCTGGAATCTCATTCGCGATGAAGACGGAAACGGCACCTCACCGGACTCGATAACGACAAAAATTTGGGCGCTTTCTACTCGTGGGACAGGTGTCCACGTGTACGGACTCGAATCTTATCGGCTGTCGTAGAAAACTGGGCAGTGGCGAACCGAGCGACCTCGTAACCCAGTTGCTGGTAGCTACGAAAAATCGTTTCGCGTCGTCTTTAAGCACGCTCGCTTTTTTTCTCTTCCTTTTTATCCTGCGTTCCGCCATCGGGCCGTCATATTGAATACGGAATCGGGCGTCCGAGTTCGGCGTAGACCGTGCGTTCTGTTTGACAATAAAATCGTCCACTTTCACCTCGGCCAACCCCGAAATCCTTATACTGGCA